TTTTTTCAAATGATGAATCATGGAAATATGTTTGAATCTTGAAAGGACTAAATCTACCACTTAAAAACAGAAATATCATGAATTTACTTTTTGATTAAATTCTCCCTCCATTTAAAATAAGACTAAATTATGGAGCAAATGGCTGAAACCATGAGTTTGATTCTTATCCATACCAGAGGATTTTCTTTACTCATCCGATAAAAATATTGATAATATGTCATCATTTTAATTTATATAGTCCAAATGCCACCACAAAATTACTTTCCACTGCCAAATAAAACATAAGACTGGAAGTAACTCTCTTTACTACAATAAAACATTGTAATATTGTCTGATTGCCAACTTATGTTCTAAAAAGAAGCATTGAAAAGACAGACACTAAACCAACAAATATGTAACATATTGATTGGTGAAAATGGTTATAAAACATTAAAGCAAGGTTTGAAAGTTAGGATTGAAAGAAGAACAGGAGATAGCCTAAGAAAAACAGGAATCATGAGAGTTTAAGCAGTTATGGCCACAGATGAAATACCCTGAGGAGCATCTGCTAATTCTCCCTTGGAAACTGAGCCTTGGGACTTTGGGCATTGACTTCTGTCACTGTGACCCTGCTCATGTATCTCCCTCCAGAGTCAGACACTTAAGGAGGAACCTCTGATGGATGAGTAGGTATTGTCTCCTTGAGCTCTGCAGAGATATCATCTGCTGCCCGATGTCATTTCTAGTGCGTGTGTGTCATTTTGTTTCCCACCCATCTTGGGTTTTCCCCATGTTGGGAAATGCCAGATAAAATGTAATACATTCAATTAAATTTAATTTTTGGGTAAATAGTAGTTACTTTTATTTTGTGTAAACATGTTCTAGTTTAATTTCTGTATTCTGTATTTGTTTCTGCTAAATTTGACAACCCTACCCCAAACAGGAAAGGTGTTTGGATAATAAGCAGAGCAAAATGACAAATATCTCTTAAAATTAGTTACATGTGAAGATTCAAGAAATCTATTACATAGTGTTTACACTGATTAACTGCAGTGTGCTCTCACGGGAATGTGTATGAAGATCTGTGGGAGAACATCTGAGAATGTGGGTGGTTTTTCTGACTAGAGGTTAGATGGAGATTTTGGCTAAGCTGCTGTCTGGAGATAAGTTTTCAGCTGGTATCTAAATGAGTAGGAATTTCTCAAATGAGAAAAAAAGAGAGGGAAAGTTTTGGTCAACAAGATGGTAACATGGATCAAATCACAGAATCATAAAGTGACAGTGATTGAGTTTACCCAAAGGGTGTAGGTGTCTAAGAAGTGATGATGAGAGACCAGGCAAAAGGAGGAGCTTGGAGTGAGTTGAGAAAAAGAAATAAGGATCCTTTAGATACTTTTGAATGAGAGCTGATATTTTTTTTTTACTTTTTTTCACTTTTTTTCCTTTGTGTTTATTCAGGTGATGTTGGTTTACTACACTGTATATGTTTTAGGGGTATAGATTCACACCTCTACAAATATATGTTGCTACCACGCTCCCCCCAACAACAAAACCCCAATAACCCTGCACTGTTGTCCATTGAGCTTCCTCCCCACTTTGGAGAGATGACTTTTGAATACTTGTTTAAACTACAGAGTTGCTAGTCATGAACTTGACTTTGGTTGTCTATGTTGCTAAAGCATCTGCAGTCCCAAAGAGTAAAGGAATTCCCGTAAGTCACTCAGTTGTTGAAAGCATGAGTGGTTTGTGGGAGGAGACTTTCAGCCTCTAGTTTTGAGGGCTCTGAAAGGTTAACCTAAAGGCAGTAAAAATGGTCAACCAAACTGTGGAGTGAATCACAACGTTGGTGAAAAACCAGTGAGGTAACAACAGTCACTGTGGTGCAATGTACTGAGCTGGTGGTTAGGGCAGTGGAAAAGAGTGTGACAGTAAGGGCGCTGGGGAGGTGACAAGTGAGTAGAGGTGCATCAGATGTGTTGCAAATTAATGAGGTTCCAGATGAATAAATATAATGACTTTCTAGAACTTTTCTTTCAATGGCACGTTTATCTGTTTTCCCTAGGCAACTTAAAGAAGACAGGCCACACTCAAAATTAAATCATAGTTCTTACTCATGGAGAATGTGTGATGTAGCGGATGCATAGTAACTGTTTTATTACTGCTAGATTTTCTTTGCAGAGAACAGGCGCCTGTGGACATTGGTAAATATTTGTCTGTGGTTTTTCAGGGGAAATCAGTATCTTGCCAAGACAAATTCACTTGTTACACAATTGGCGTATAGCTTGAAGACTTGAATCAAATAGAGGTGTAATCTATTTTTTTTCCCCATGGCTTTAGATAACTTGAACCACATTAGATTTTGCTTCATTCAATTGTCATTTCATTTTTTTAGACATACCTCAGGTACTTCACAGAAGTCACATCAAGAATTTTTGATATAGCATTTTGAGCACTTTCCTGACTTCATCTCCACATTTTGTGTGTGTGTGTGATTTCTACATCTTTGGGATATGTTCATTTTTCTAATTTGACCTCTTTCTGAGTATTTAACTCTCAGAGAAAGAGAAATCAGAGACAAAACAATAGCATAATGCTTTCAATGTCTTTTAAAAAGAGTTGAGAAACTACTTGATTATGTATAAATTTCCTTATTTGTTTTTATATCTGCATCCCATATTAATATGAATAATGGGAAGTTTTGTGAAAAGTTTGTGAATATAACCTTTAGTCAGGCATGTAACAGATCATGTCGTAGTTTTATTTTTAATTTTTTGAGAAAACCTCATACTGCTGTAACTAGCAGGTGTATACTTTTGTATGCCCACCAACATTGTACAAGTTTCACCATGTCTTCTCTAACGCTGGTCTTTTTTTTTTTCACTAAATATGTATAATAGCCTTCCTGCTAGGTATGAGGTAATATCTCATTGTAGTTTTGATTTGCATTTCCTTAATGATTTGTGAATTTGAACATCTTTTGATGTATCTGTTGGTCATTTCTATGTCTTCTTTGGAAAAAATGTCTATTTAAATCTATCCCATTTTTAAATTAGTTATTAATGTTTTTTATTGAGATATTGGACTTTCTTATATATTTGGTATAGTTTCCTCTTATCAGATACTTCGTCTGCAAAAATGTTTTCCCATTCCTTACCAGGACTTTTCATTCTATGGATTGTTATGATCAAAAAAGATGGTTAATATGATTTGAGTCTTGATATAGCTGTTGATCTGGTGCCCCAGGATAATACCTATACTTGAAAATGTTCTGTATACCCTTAAGAAGAATGTGTATTCACTTCTTTGGATTGGAAAGCTCTCTGTGTCTATGAAACCCATTTGATTCCTTGCTTCATTTAAGGCCTTTATTTCCATATTTGCGTTCTGTCTGGATAATCTATTCATTAATGTAAGTAGCATGTTGTGGTCCCCTACTACTAATGGCATTGCTGTAAATGTCTTGCTTTAGGTTTGTTAATGAGTGTTTTATAATTGGGGGTGCACCTGTGTTGGATACATAAATATTCATAACAGAATCGCCCTTTGATCATTGTGTAGTGTCCATCATTGTGACTTCCTACCTTATTTTTTGCTGAAAGTCTCATTTTCCAGATATGAAAATAGCAGTTCCTTCTTTTTTTCTCTGTAATTTTAGCTTGCAATGCCTTGACTCAGTCTTTCACTTTAAGTTTCTGTTTGTCTTTACACTAATGGATCATGTTTTTTGATCCAACCTGCCAATCAATGCCTTTTGAATGATTAAGTTCAGACCATTCCGGTATGGGTGATTTCTGATATAATTGGGGTTTAACTACTACCATTGTTTGATCTTTTTAGTTGTTTTTTTCCCCTATGTATTTCTATCTCCCTTTTCATTTGGGTGGTTTTCCCTGGTGAATCTCTTAGTTTCTTCTTCTTTTTTTTTTCTTCCAAGAGTATCTGTTCCAGATTTTTCTTTTGTGGTTATTGTGAGGGTCCTATCAAACTTTCTATATCTAGTATGGTCTTTTGTATGATTTTATCAACTATTGTCTCTTGACTATATGGTCTGTTATTTCCCTTCTGTTTGTTTATTTGATTTATTTCATCAATATTTTCTAGTTTTCAGTGGGAAGACTCTCATCTGCAAAGGTAATTTATTCTTAAGTATTATCCTTTTGGGTGCTATTGAAAATGGTATTGTTTTCCTAGTTTGCTTTTCAGGTACTTCATTGTTAGTGTATAGAAATGTAAATGGTTTTGTGTATTGATTTTGTATCTTGCAATTTTACTGTTTGTTTATTATTTATAACAGTTTTCTATGGCATCTTTATGGTTTTCTGTATATATGATCGTGTCATCTGCAAATAGGTAAACTATTAATTTTCCACTCTGATTTAGATGCCCTTAAGTTTCTATGTCTTTCCTACTTCTTTTGGCTACGTCTCCCAGTCCTATATTGTCATTAGGTGGTGTGAGTGAGCTTCCTGACTTAATTTCTGCTCTTAGAAGAAGAACTTTACATTTTTAACTCTCAGTATGATGTTGACTGGGGACTCTATATTTGACCTTTATTTTGTGAGGTGATTTTGTTTTTGTCCTACTTTGTTGAGAACTTTTATCATGAAAGGATGTTGAATTTGCCAGATGCTTTTTTTTCTTCTTCTATTAATGTGATCACATGATTTTTATCATTTTTTTCCCTGTTAATGTGGTGTATCATGTTAACTCTTTTTCATATAGTGAACAGTCCTGTATCTCAGGAACAAATCTCACTTAGTCCTTGTAAGTATGTCAATGTGGGTATTTTCACAGAAAGTAGATAAAAGCAAGAAGGGTGGATGTTCACTGCTTCAACCCCTCTTCTTTTCATCTTGCAAGTGGAACTTTAGAATTCAGTCCACTCTAAAGCTTTCTGGGTTGAAAAACACTCCCCAACTTGTGTAACACTTACTACCAGCCTATCGCCACATGTTCTGATTACAGATTTTGACCAGGAGATTGCAATTATCGCGAGCGCCGCCGCCTGCCCTGCGCGGGGAGCGGCGCTCGCGGTGGGAGCTGCGCTGCGGCCACGCGGTCTCCCGAGCTCGCTGCAAACGCGGGTGCACGGCACAATGTCGCAACCGTCCCCCCGGGCCAAGCCGTCCAGCCCTAGTAATCCCAGAGTCTTCTTTGACGTAGACGTCGGAGGGGAGCGAGTTGGCCGAATTGTCTTAGAATTGTTTGCAGATATTGTACCCAAAACTGCAGAAAATTTCCGTGCATTATGTACTGGAGAAAAAGGCACTGGATCCACCACTGGGAAACCTCTCCATTTCAAGGGATGCCCTTTCCATCGAATTATTAAGAAATTTATGATTCAGGGTGGAGACTTTTCAAATCAGAATGGGACAGGTGGAGAAAGTATTTATGGTGAAAAATTTGAAGATGAAAATTTCCATTATAAGCATGATCAGGAGGGTTTGTTGAGCATGGCAAATGCCGGCCCTAATACGAATGGTTCTCAGTTCTTTATCACAACAGTTCCAACTCCTCATCTGGATGGGAAACATGTGGTATTTGGTCAAGTAATTAAAGGAATGGGTGTGGCAAGAATACTGGAAAATGTAGACGTGAATGGTGAAAAGCCTGCCAAATTGTGCGTTATTGCAGAATGCGGAGAACTGAAGGAAGGGGATGATTGGGGAATATTCCCCAAAGATGGTTCTGGTGACAATTATCCAGATTTCCCTGAGGATGCAGATATAGATCTGAAAGATGTAGATAAAATCTTATTAATAGCAGAAGACTTGAAAAACATTGGAAATACATTTTTCAAATCTCAGAACTGGGAGATGGCCATTAAAAAATATACAAAAGTTTTAAGGTATGTGGAAGGTTCAAAGGCTGTTATTGAGAAAGCAGATAGACCAAAGCTGCAACCTGTAGCTTTAAGCTGTGTGCTGAATATTGGTGCTTGTAAACTGAAGATGTCAAATTGGCAGGGAGCAATAGACAGTTGTTTGGAGGCTCTTAAAGTAGACCCATCAAATACCAAAGCACTGTACCGTAAAGCTCAAGGATGGCAAGGATTAAAAGAATATGATCAAGCACTGGCTGACCTTAAGAAAGCTCAGGAGATAGCACCAGAAGATAAGGCTATCCAAGTGGAATTGCTGAAAGTCAAACAAAAGATAAAGGCACAGAAAGATAAAGAGAAAGCAGCATATGCAAAAATGTTTGCTTAATAAGGAATTCAGTTTGCCTAAATACATACATTGATTGTATAAAGTCAGTAAGAAAACTTAAGGAATTTTATCTATTATACATGATCCCTAATGTATTGACACCTCAGTTCTCCATCATATACACTTCAAGAATACTGGTAAGGGTTCACTCTTAACAAAACAGTGCTATAAAACACAGTGAAGTTGATTTTTAAAAAATGGTTGCCTGCATTATTCACAAAGACTAATGGTATCCAACCTATTTCTAAACTCTGAAAGAAATGTCTTATTGAATAAACAGATGAAAGCTTAAGTCATGTATTGTTTCCCTCAATTCTTTGCTGTATCTCTGTGGTTGGTTTGTGCAGGGGTTTTGTGATATAGGTATGTGTGTTCAGGGATCCGCAAACTCTCTCTTAGGAGGGCCAAATAATAAATGCTTTAGGCTTTGTGGATCATTTAATAACTACTCAATTCTGTAATTGTAGCTCAAAAGTAGCCACATGTAAACTAATGGGCATGGTTATGTACCAATAAAACTTCATAAGAATAAAAAAAAAAAAAAAAAAAAACATAAACTGAATTCAAAGAACATTATATACCAACAAAGCAGCAACAGAAAACATAAGAAAAAACTTAAGGACATGCCAATATTGGGGAATAGTGGTAGAAAAAGAACTATTAATGGCATACTGAACAAAATAAAATTGGAATAGCTATATTAATATTAGAGTTTCTTTAAGAGAAGCAGCAGTAGTATAGTGGAGAGGATCTTTATATACATACACTACATTACATAATTTACAAAAAAATAACAATTTAAAGCACATATCTGGGTTTGACCAAGGTATACTGACATAGGAAATTCTTGAGCTCCCCTCTCAGTGTGGACATCAATATACCAGTAAATATTTATAAAATAATATTTAGTAAGTATATTATTTTGAAACAGATAGAACCAAAATCCATCAAGATTTGATGGCTGAGTTTTCCAGAGTAAACTGTGAATGAAAGTTAGATTTTTCTTCAAAACATGGGCTTATTATATGTGTCTAATGTTAGTAGTGGATCAGAAGGAAAATTGGTTTTTCTCTGCCTGAGTGAAATGGGGAAAAGAAAGTTATAGAATCTCATATAATGAAAAATTTTATGAGAGGAGTGAAATTGAGATTGGTGACTCTCATTTGCCCAGTTTCTAGAGAATTTGCAGAGAGGAGAAATAAGACAGACTAAAAGAAATGAGTATAGCTGCTTTCAGACAAGCAGAATACTGAATTAGCAAAACAGCCTGGCCAGTGCATGGAAGTGAATAAAATTTCTCCTCTTCATACAACCTTAACTTTCTGAGCTTGAGCCTTTCCTGCTTTCCCTGTTGATGCTTTGTTGGTCCATCATGTTCTTTGAATTCAGTTTAATTGCAATCTTCTGGTCAAAATCTGTAATCAGAACATTTGGTGATGGGCTGGTATAACATGAGTTGTGAAGTAATTTTCAATCTAGATTGTCTAAGAGTGGAGTGAATTCTAAAGTTTCCACTTGCAAGATGAAGAGAAGAGGGATTTGAAGTAGGGAACATTTTCCTTTCTTGCTTGTGTCTGCTTTCTATGGAAACACCTGTATTGACATTGAATGACTATCTGGAGAAACAAGTTCATTGCGTGTATGTGTGTGTTGTGTTAGACTGATGAAATGAAAACTGAGGAAGAGGAAAAGAGCTTAAATATTTATCTTTTGATAAATAGCTGTTGGTTTTGGGAAGAATATAATATAAATCCTGTTCAAATGCTAGAGAGATTGAAGTTGTGTGGTTAGGGCTCACAAAAGGTGATTTGCATGTGGAAATTTTGCACTGTGAAAAAAATCTACAAGATTCTTTGATAAAAATAGACCATAAATCAATTTGAACCTTGGTTTTCTTGCCTCCAGCCAATTAATTTTCTAGAATAAGTCTCCACAAGAGCTGACACATCTCAAATGCATGGTTTCTATCTATGGGACCATCTTTCTTCAAGTGCATCTTTTGTAAACTTGGGAGGAAGCTGCTTCCTTCTCTTTGAGCACACACACACACACACACACACACACACACACACACACACTTCTTTTGAATCTTCCATTTTGGAGGCTTCAAGAACATTTATCAGCTGCGGAAGCTATGCAAATGATCCAAGCTCCTCTTATTGTGAGAAATTAGAGGCCAGAATATCGTGAGAAAAATCTGATAGCAAAGGGGTGCACCTCCTACCTATTTTGGAGTTTCCCATTGTCAGGAGGTGCTGGGGTTAGAAGAGGAAGATGAGAACTGTAGAGAAATACCTTAAAAAGTTAGTAAATACATTGGAAAAAAAGCAGAGGTGTATGAGAATAACTTGGCTGTCGAGATAGAGAAAACTGTGTGATAAATAGATGAAGGAGGCAGCATCTCTGTGGTGTTTGAGCCATTGCTTGTGACATTGCACCATGTTGGAAACATGGAAGAAACTTGGTTCTCTGAAGCTTAGTGGGAGCAGAGGGCAGGGTTTGGGTTGGTGAGGGATGTGGACACACTGAGAGCACCAGGCAAGTTCTCCCCTATATCAGAAACTTTCCAAAATGCCAAGAAGAATAAGAGGACTGACAAAAAGCTGTTGTGGTGACTTGAGGATGTGACTGCTGAGTCATCACCTTTTCCTTATGAGAAGTGCAGATACCACAGGCTGGTAGCTACCATGTGACATGGATTAGGGAGATTCTGGAAGAGTTCTGAGGTATTAAAATTCTAGGTTATGGAATAGCTGTGAAATGTTCCAACAGCTTGGTCCTCTTATTCTTGTTTGCAGTTGGTTTTTGGGACCAACATTGAAAACTAACAAGTGGAGTTGGTAGGTCTCATTTAGACAAATCGTTTAATCTTTGATCATAAGGTATTTCCATTTATTTTTAAGCACTCTACTGTAGTTATTTACCAGGAGATTATGGAGTCTGACTACTTGTCACTCATAAGCCCAAACTCAAGAGACAAGAATTAGAAGGGAATCAGGTTTAGGCATGTGCTAGAGAGCCCACAGGCAGCACAGACTACTGTCACAAAGGCCCTCTTCCAGAACTGATAGGACAGGGGAGTGCTCAGGAAGGGGTGAGGATAAAGGGTCTGCATCAGCAGGATTTCAGAGAGAGAGAGTGGTTTTCTGGCAACAAGTCACACCTCTTTTTCTTCAAAGTTTTATCTTGGTGGGACCTCTGAGGCTACTAGTGGGTGTGTGAGGCTGTGGCTTATCCTTTTCCTCCTCCATCTTGGTTTCTGTCAGTTGTGCCTGTTTTCTTGATTTTGTTTGCAATAAAATATAAACAGGAGCAGAGCAAAGATGATTGGGTAAAGAAGGAGCAAGGGTGAAGAACTTACGGTTACCAGGTCCCTGATAGTTTTGTATCTGTAATACTCATTTTGAGGCAAAGTCAGCCTTAAAAGCTACTGACGTGTTTGTTGAAACTTTTATTTTTTGGTAGTCACATGAATTCTCAGTGAATGTTCTATAACCACAGTTCAAATTTTTGGTTTAATTTTTATCTGTCTCCTGTCATACTAAGTAATACAAAATGATGTGATATTTAAAAAAAAAAATAATGGGTTGGAACTCCTGTTGTGAAACAAATCAATTTTTCTAAAAACAATCTATTTCTGTGAGGACCGGACGGCATCCGCTGTGAGGTGATATGAAAGGGTGTTTCATCTTCTGGCCAGGGGGTTTCCTGTACTTCCGAGATCACACCCAGTGCCTTGGGATGCTGCTTGGCCTTTCAAATGCAAGTCCACCACTCTCCTGCCATAGTTCATTGAGGGTTATGGGACAGACGCTCCAGAAGGATCAGGTGGGGTTTGCTCCATATGCTCAGAGTAGGCCTCCTCCAGCAGTGTCAACTGGATATGGGGAACCGAAGGTCAGCTGAGACCCTGTGAGCTTTGAAAAGTCCATTCCAATTACCGAAATAACAGTGGTTTTTTTTTTTTTTTTTTTTTTTTTTTAAAGTTAAGAGCAGTGAAGACTCTGGAGGCTAGGAGAAGTTCTGTCCTTGTCTCAGACAAAATGTACCCTTTTCCCAACTGAAGAAGCTGTCTCTGTTCCACCTTTTTAGACTTAGAAGGCAGTTTGGAGAGTATCAGCCCAGTGTGGGTTTATCTGTAAACACACCCTCATCCTCTCCAGCTGAATAGCTCATCTCTAATCTCCAAGCACGAAGGTGAAGAGCACCCCCTTCTTGTCCATCTGGTGACATCTCTCCCTTCTGTCTCTTTGATGTCTCAGCTCCATAAACACATGATTAAGATCCCAGGTCTGTTCCCTTAGTCTTTGGAATGTATTCCCATGTGAATCCTTCATAAGTATGTTATTAAATTGATTTTTCGTCTGCTAACCTCTCATATGCTATTTTGATTACTTGTCTATCCAGATAAGAACCCAAAGGTATGGAGGGTTTTTCCTTTTTCAGGGTGTGCTGGTGAGTAGAGTAGTGTGCCTGTAAGCACCTAGCCTGGTGGTCTGCTTGTGTGTTCCACTGCCCGCCCAGGCGACACCCCCAAAACCCCACTGTGGTTTTCCACAGAATGGAAGCTCATTCTTTGAGTGGAAGCTCCCTAGTTCATGAATTATCTGTCTTGTGTCTTAGAGTTTTCACGGGTTCCTCAACATTTTTAGGCCTTTCTGATACTGTTTGATTTGGGGGACTCTTACAGATTTAATTTATGCATAATTTAATGTCATTTCTAGATAATTTGATGAGAAGCAGATATATGTGGATGTGCTCAGTTCCTCACTTACATAAGATGAAGATGTCCATAAGATATACATCTAGTACACAAGATGAATTTTGTTTCTCCAGAAAAAATTTCATTTGGATAAAATAGCTTTATTTTATCCAAAAGAGTATAATATCAAAGAACGCTCATACACATATCTGTGGTTTTTGTCCTGTTTTATTTTGTATATGTTCGGCATCTTTCCAAAGAAGAATCATCCATATTAGCTTCATTTTTCTACAGAAGGCCCAGTAAAGGAATGAAAAAGAAAGAGGGGCATATGGCCATTTGTCTTTGGAATCATGTGCACTCTTTTCAATTTTCCATTTTCTCAGTTTCTTGAAGCCTGCATGTGCCTGAATTAGCATGTCATCAGGTTAACACCAGAGAAATGTGGATACTGGCTCCATTTTGGTTCAGCAGCAATACATGGTTTCAATCAGCCATCACCCTGAAGTCAAATAGTGTGGTGTTTTGTTAATATTGATTTAATAGTCTTCAAACCAAAAGAATCCTTTGCATATTGAGTCTAGGCTGTTGCATAATTCATCCTACTTAATATTCTGTCTAGGTTGTTTTTTTTCCCTCCTCCCTGTCTTTAGCAACCAACCCAGTTTAACTAGAACTTAGCATTCTGTGTACAGGCAGGATGTGGCAATTGGCAGCTGGCATACTTAATTTCCCTGAGACTTTGCTACCTTCTTTTAAATATTTCACTAGATCTATGAAAATGTCTTTTCTGTAATCAGATTGCTTACTGTATATCAGGGA